TGTGTTGCATATACACAGCTTTAAAGAAAAAGGAAATAACAAAATTCTCAAGTTAATGAACAGAACTAGAAATAATTTAGTGTGAGGTAACCCAGATCCAGAAAGCAAATGCTGCATGTTCTCTCTCATATGTGGATGCTAGATTAGAAATTATGAATATGTGTTTAAATTAGAGTACCTATGAAACTCAGGAGACTAGTAAAGGGCCATGGGGATGTACTAGTTACATGTTTTTTTCTTTTCTTTTTTTTTTTTTGAGACAGGGTCTCATTATGTTTAAACCAGGCCAACCTGGAACTCAGAAAGACCCACGTGCCTCTGCCTCCTGAGTGCTGGGATTAGAGGCCTGTGCCACTAAGCCCAACTATGTATTAGTTACTTTTTTGTTGCTGTTATGAAATACCATGACCAAAGGCAACTTGGGGAGGAAAGGGTTTAATTTGCTTACACTTCCATGTCACAATCCATCATTAAGGGAAGTCAGGCAGGAGCTCAAGCAGGAACTATAGTAGAAATTATGGGGCACTGCTGCCTGCTGGCTTACTTTCGCTGGCTTGCTCAGCTACCTTTTTTCTACAGCCCAGGCCTACCTGCCTAGGGATGTCACTGCCCACAGTGGACAGGGCCTTCCAACATCAATTAGCAACTAAGACAGATATGCCCACAGGCCATTCTGATTGAACATTTCCCCACTTGAGACAGATGAAGCTAACTAGAAGAGGGAGAATTTCAAAGAAAGGAGGATAGAATGCAGACTGTATGAAGGGGAAAGGGAATAACAGAACAGAAGGGGTTAAGTGGGGTGAAGGGTGGGAGAACAGAATAGAGGAGGGAGTGTGGGGAGGGATAATACCACTAAATGTTTGAAAATGTTGTATGGGACCTACTGCTGTAGATGCTTCCTAAGGTGTTTACATGTACATGTGTAAAAGGAGTTTAAATGGAGTTACCCTGTGACAGGGAGGGCAGTGCCTCTTCCAGACACCACAAGCTAGCAAATAAAAAGCCCAGTGCCAGGTACGGGTTACCTCGTTTGGTCATTGGTCAGTGGAGTCTCAGATCCTCTCCCATCCCCAACGGTACAGGATATTGATATTCTTGGTTACTTCCAAAACTTGAGGGTAAGACCTTATTGTTGAAGACACCACATACTTGTCATAGAACATGGAGAAATCAAGCTGGCACCAACCTGGAAGCTTTATCCCTACTGCTTAGCTGTGGTAGTGCTGGACGGTCCTGTTTGCACAACCGAGGGAGATGAGTATTCAACAGTCTTAACCAACTCTGAACTCTGTGAGCTACAATAATGACTGGCCTGGCATCATACCTACTGGTGCAGTGATGGTATGGATGTTATAGGAATAGCCCGTCACTTTCTGATTGTATTTGAAGCTCATGCTATAAGACGGAGCTCATGTCTGGTACTGTTAACTGGGCTAAAATCCTGTGACTTGCTAGGTCATAGGCCCTAGGGGAGAACTTACTGCTATTATTTTGCTAAATGGACATAGTATTGAACTGCCCCCTAAGTTCTTATCTCTATACCATAAGTTAGTGCATCTTTCATCTCATTAGAAAAGCTTTTTGCAGTAGACGGCGATTAATATAGAGATTTATAACTCATCCACATGCAGAGAATGAGACCATGGCATGCTCAGCTCTAAATGGGACATCTGTGTCACACACGTTCTAAGGCTCAGGGAATCATTGCATAAGAGGGGGCTGAAAGATTGTCAGGGGCAGAAGTAGTGGGTGTGTGCAGTGAAACATTATTTGTCGGACAGGACGGCCGTCGCACACATAAACTCACAGTGGCTGTGACTGCATGCATACGACAGCCAAAGTCCAAGCACAGATGGAGGAAGGGATCATGAGTTCTCACCGCTAGCTGAGAAGCCATTGGCAATAGCTGCTAGGGGAGGGAGATGGCTGCTGGGGGAAGAAGGGTCAGTTTTCTTCAGCAGTGCTGCCCCTGGTAGCCTATAGTGGCTCACAGTGGTTTATAACTCCAGTTTCAGGGAATCTAATGCTCTCTTCTGGACTCCAGGGGTACTGGGCAAGCACATGATGCACCTATATGCATTCAAACAAAACATCCATAAAATAAAAGTAAATCTTTGAAAAGAAAGAGTGTGCATAACCCTTATGTATACTGAGGATTATTATGCCTCGATAGCGTACTGACCCTGTCATTTCATAATGCTCTCCTCTATCCCTGGTAACTTCTCTTGCTCTGAAGTCGTCTGTGTCTGAAATGAACATAGCTTTTCTCACACACACACCCTTTTCCATTTTCATATGTGTATGTGTGGTGTATGTCTGCATGTTTGCGCATGTGTGGATGCACGTGGGAGACTGCATGTAGAGGCCTTAGTCACTCTTCATCTTATTCACCAAGGCAGTGTCTCCCAGTCAAACCCAGAGCTTCCTGATGTACCTGGTCACATTGGCCAGGGGATCCTTTGTCTCTGCTTTCCAAGGCTGGAGTCACAGGTGGGCCTCCATGGAACCAGAACCTGAACCTGGCACGTGGCTTCTGGGGATCCAAACTTCCGTCCTTGCACTTGTGTGGCAAACACTTTTTTAAAAAAAAATTTATTATTTTTATTTTATGTGTATGTGTGTATTGCCTGCATGTACGTAAGTGCGCCCGTGTCGTGCAATGCCTGTGGAGGACAGAAGAGGCTGTAGGATCCCCTGGAACTGGAGTTAGGGCAGTGTTAGCTGCCATGTGGGTGCTGGGATTCGAACCCGGGTCTTCTGCAAGAACAACCAGTGTTCTTAACCGCTGAGCCATCTCCCCAGCCTGCTTTCTTTTGATTAGGGTTAACTCAGTATCTTTCTTCCTTCCTTTACTTTGTGTCTATTAGGTGTCTTTCTATTTAAAGTGGATTTCTTGTATAGCATGCAGTCAGGTTTTATTTTACAATCTCTGCATTTTAGTTGGTTTATTTACTTATTTTTTTTTTTTGTTTTGTTTTTGAGACAGAGTTTCACAATGTAGCCCAGCCTGGCCCCAAATTTGCAACTCTCCCACCTCAGTCTCCCAACTGCTGGGATTGCAGATGTGTGTCACCGTGCCCAGCTAGTTGGTGCTTTTAAAAGACCATTGACATTTAGGTGATTATTTCTGCACTTGCATTAGTATTTTTATTTTTATTTTATTTTATTTTTTTTTGAGAGGGTCTCCCAATGTAGCCCCAGCTGGCCTGGAACTCTCTTGAATAGACCAGGTTGGCCTCGATCTCACAGAGATCCTCCTGCCTTTGTCTCCTGAGTGCTGGGATTAAAAGTGTACCACCATTCCTGGCAGATTAGTATTTTTAATTTCCTGCTGTATCTGACTCTATGATGCTTATTCTCTTCAAACTGTTTTTTTCCCCTTTTTAGTATGCCTTGTAAATTTTGATTAAAAGGTGGGAAAGTGATGTCTTGGATAAAAAGGAACTATGGCCAAAAGCTTTTCGTAATGTAGTGGCAAAGTGTGTGTGTGTGTGTGTGTGTGTGTGTGTGTGTGTGTGTGTATGTGTGTGTGCCTGTCTGTCTCTGTGTCTGAGTCTATGTCTGTGTCCGTGTCTGTGTCTGTGTGTGTGAGAACTATATGGTTCTATGATTAGGTCTCAGTCTTTTGGTGAGCCTGTGCCCTGGACTCTGAAATTCACCAGTGCTCCTCGGTTTTCTTCCTACTAGATGGGCTAGAATGCCTGGAAGGGGCTGTGGGTGGGCGTGTCTCATCCTCCATGTGGAATGGTAAAGAGCTGGACATGGCTATCTCCTTTATGTCAGTCACGTAGGTCATGCTCTGGTAAAATGGTTCCTCCTGAGGCAGGCCCTGGTCACAGCACTCTAGCGGGCTTCAGAATGGCTTCTCTCCCTGCCCTGCAGAAGCACGAGGGGAGTGCCTGTGCTGCTCACTGTGGGAACTGGTAGAACTCAAACTCAAGTGTGCGAGCCCCTCTCTCCATGACTGAGTCTCTGGAACTTTGGCCCTCAGGGCCGTCCTCACTGTGTCCCCAGCACCTTGTTGGCCAGGGTTTCAGTTTCCCTGCCCCAGAATTGGTTCCTGCAAAGGGAAGTTGTTTCTCTATCTTTGAGGACAGGTCTCTGTAGTGTGACCTCACTTCTCTGATGGACCTAAGAAGAGATGTTTTTTTTTTGGTTTGTTCAGCTCCTTCCTTGTTGAGATGGAAAGGCAGTGTCCCAGCTCCTTACTGGACTAGAGACACTAAATCTGTCCTGCTGATTGTCCTTCTTCACTGCCGCTTGAGTCTGCTCTTCTTGTGTTGACAGTTACTGTCCATGGAGCTAGAACCTTTGCTTTAGTGTGGTCATGGCTGGAGGCGCCAGGACCAGAAGAAAGGATTCTTGCTGAGTCTAGTCACACAGTTCCTCTGTAGGTTATAATTGTGATGCAACAGGTCCATTTTTAGGCTTATAAATTATTATTTTTTTAGTTACATTATTGTTTAATGTCACAAAATTTTACATAATTTATGAATCAAAAATGTTTTGAGCAGTGATCACCTGTTTGAAATTCTTTTTTAAAATTTTATTACTTTTATTTTATGTGTATGAGTGTATTGCCTGCATGTGTGTAAATGCACCTGTGTCATGCAGTGCTGGGAGAGGTCAGAAGAAGGTGTCGGATCCCCTGGAACTGGAGTTATGGATGGTTGTTAGCTACCGTGTGGGTTCTGGGAATTGAACTTGGGTCCTCTGTAAGAGCAGTCAATGCTCTTAACCACTGAGCTATCTCTCCAGCCCCTTGAAATTCTTATATAGCCTCCCAGTGTTTAATAAGACAGTATTTGTTTGGGGATATAAGTGCTGGTCCATTTACTAGTCAGTCTGATAGCTTTCTCATTATACTTGAAACTCTCTTTGGATCCTAAAAGAGTCTATTACTTCCTGGGACACAGTCACACTCAGAACAGTATTCCCAGACCTACTGAAGTGGGTTTTATTGAGCTGATGATTGGAAATTTTGACTATGTGCATAGGAGCTGGAGCCGTGTGCAGAAGAGACCAAGTCCTTAAAGGCAGTGCAAGAGTCTCAGAGCTTCCGGCTACAGCCAGTGGCTCACTGGTCTGAGGGACAGCCCCAGAAACCATGGGTGAAGAATGCTTGCTGTGACCTTCCCAAGATGGCACCTTGGTCCTTGAAAGAGAGTGGTGAGTACCAGGAACATGGGGACGTTAGGGATGAGGGCTCTCAAGGACAGAGTTGGAAGGTGGGGAGGAAGGATGCACAGAATTTAAGGTAAAAGGCAGGATGATGTCCATGGATAGTCTTATTGAGAAATAAGAAAGCCCTGTAAAAGAAAGTGACAAGTGATGCCAGCATGTTCTACCTGGAGTTATACAGCAGGTACGGGGTGTGTGTGGGGGGTGCTCACAGGAGTTCAGGGCTGGCATCTCACACAGGGCACACCAGAGAAAGTAGCTTAGCAGTTCTACACTCCAAAAGAGAAGTGAAAGAATTCCCCGTTAGCCACAGGGACGCCCTCAGTTTAGAAGTCCTCGCAGTTTAGGAGAAGTCCGGGCTGGCCAGCGACAGCCTCAGTTTGATTCTAGCATGACTTTTGGTCTCTGAAGGAAACAGTTTTGGGGAACTAGAACTTGGGTTTCAAAGGCTTTTTCTCTTCCTCAGCTGTCCTCACTCCCCGAGTCCCTACTCTTCCAAAGATGGGTAGCATTGGAGATTGGGAGGTGACAGCCAGGTCTCAGGTGAGCTGCTTTCTCTTCCTGCCCTCCAGCTCTGCTTGCAATGCAGGCGTCTCTGTGGTGTCTTGTCCTCATCTTTCCTAGGCCTGGTAGGTGCCCAGGTTGTTTGCAAGGGTTAGTGAAGTTTAAGGTCCTTTTCTTCTGTGTGCCACAGGAAACCCTGGGTCCCAGCAGACACACTGAGGAGTTCTGCAAGGACACCCCAGCAGATGAATGTGGAGACGGTGTGTGCCTGGGTAAGGAGAACATGCCCTTCTCCAGGAGCCCACCAGTCCTATTTCTGATACACTCAACTCCCAGAGAGGCATTTCCACTTCCTTACAAATCATAGCTGTGCAGCCTCTGGAATTTCAAAGGGAGGAAGAAGAGTGGCTCCTGCTAACCAATACCACAGAGACCCTGCCTGGATCAGGCTGGTATGCTGCATGGCCCTGTTGGGGCTCATGACCTTCATGCCCGTGGTCAGTCACTCTGAGGGTGGAGGCAGGGAGGACTGGGCCCAGCCTGCCCTTTCAGAAATCTGTTTCTTCAGGACCCATTGGTAGTTGCCTCTTGGGGCAGACTCATGTGAACTAAACTCATGAGACCCATGTGTGAACCCACAAGAAAAATAAGTAGCACAGCCTTCAAGTGTGACTAGCATAGACCCTGTTCTTGAAGGCCATCCATACGGAGAGCCAAATGCCAAAGAGACCTTCCCCTGAGGGAGGTTAGACATTGAGTGGGTGAAGATGAAGAGACGGGGACAGGTCTGACTCATGAGGTTAGACCAGAAGCTTGAAGGCCACTCCCTTGACAGTGGAACCCCGAGTTTACATGTGTATCTGGGGGAAATAATATTTAAAGGAACCAGCTTTGGGCAATGCTGAATTAGATCGTCCTTAAGCACTTTTACATCTCAACTCTTTCTCATCTTGTTTTCTTCAAACATTTATTTTGATGAAAGGCTTTCTATTTGTTAGGATAGGAACTGTTGGGGTGGGAATCCTGTTTGAAAAATTAGGACATTTATTTCTTTACACTTTTGGAAGTCCAGAGGAGGAAGTGTTCCAGTCACAGTATGTGTTGGTGCAGCAGTGCCCTACGGGCCCTGTAGTTTTTCTCTCTGCCTGCCATCAGAGTTTGTTTTGCCCAGTGTTAATAGAGAAATGCCAGTGGCGATGGAGGTCAGAAGTTTCCCAGCAGGAGAAGGCCTCACCGTAACACACACACACACACACACACACACACACACACACACACACGGATGCACGCATGCACGCACGCACGCACACACACACACACGGATGCATGCATGCACGCACGCACTCACACACACACATGCACCTGTCTTCCCTCTAACAATGGCTCTCAGCCTGATGTGTCTGTCATCTGTGGATCAGTACTAGCTACTCTGTCATGGGCTTTATTTTATAACAACAGTATGGCACATGAACCAACAGACCTTAGATTTTCAGTGAGGTGGCCCTGTTGCTTCTGGTTGTCTCTCCCAGAGAAGATCAGCCTGGGGATTTCTCATCAGCCTCTTTCAGGGAGAGGATATAAGTGTCAGGGACAGTTTGGAGAAACACAGTTCAACAAGTCATCTCTGCTCAGTCTCTTCTCTTCTTCCTTTCATGAAGGCATTCCAGTTTCAGAGCCAAGCACCACCTCCCAGCATGAACAAGGATCAGAAATTTGGGGACTGAGCCTTATAACTTCTGGGAAAGGGAGCACTGCAGATTATAGCCTGGACAGTGAGCAAAACAAAACTGCTCAGGCATCAGCCTGGAAGGACTCAGGGGCCTGGGAAGAGCAAGGCCAATGGGATGGGGAGGACATGAAAGGATCGGGCGTTCACTGGGGATATGAGGAGACCAAGATTTTCCTGGCAATTTTAAGTGAGTCTTCTTTCTCTGAAAAGCTTCGGACTTGTCACCAGAACCGCCAGGTATACAGGGCTATTGCAGAGCGACTAAGGGCACGGGGCTTCCTGCGGACACTGGAGCAGTGTCGCTATAGGGTCAAAAACCTCTTACGGAATTACCGGAAAGCCAAGAGCAGTCACCCACCAGGGACCTGTCCCTTCTATGAAGAGCTGGAGGCCCTGGTGATGGCTCGAACAGCCATCAGAACGACAAATGGACCAGGAGAGGCCATGGCCCTTCCCAGGCTGGGCGATAGTGATGCTGAGATGGATGAGCAAGAAGAAGGGAACTGGGAGCCCGAGGAAGCAGCGGAAGACTGCAATGCTGCTGGCCTGGCTGCTGATGAATCTACTCAGGTGCCCAGGATTGCAGGGGGCCCAGCTCTGCTCCACAGTCGTATTGGTAAGAACATGGGGTTTAACTGGATGCATAGTCCCAACTCTCCTGTCAGCCAGGCTGTGCTACTTGAGGACAGCACAGACTGCAAGCCTGTATCAGAGTCAGGTGCTGAGTTCCTTGAAACATGCTCAGACTCCCACTCTTCTGCAATGACCATGTCTTCTTAGTTACAGGAGCAAATACTTCTAAAGCCTTAGTATACCTTAAGGAGAGAATCCAGTTACTTCCCAAAGTGTTCACTAATAATACAGGATGAGAATAGGTGGTAGCTGAGTGAACTTTCCCCTAACGTGTGTGAGAACATCAGCCCATTATTTCTTAGATAACAAATTTGGGTAAAGAAAGATAGTGAAACACTGAACGTACAGGGAAGAAGCTGACAGTGTGGACTTGGGAGTCTGTGTGGCAAGCTCGTAGTTAGTGCAAAGGCACCATGGCTGCTGTCGAGGAGATGAGCCACCTAAAGCCACACAGAGGCGGGAGCAGAGCCTGGCTCCTGCTTGTCGTGTTCATGCGGGTCCCCTCCCCGTGCTTCCTCCCTGGGCTACTCTCTTATTTGCAGAAGAAATGAGACCAGACTTCCAAACCACATCTTTTTCATTCTTTTGCTTGAGAGGAAAGGTCATCTTCAGTTGGATTCTGTTGCCTGGTGGTTTGAGATCCATTTGCATCTCTGATCCTTGGGGATTCTCAGATCCATGTTTTGTGACAAGGAGAATTCATAAAGGAAGTAGAAGATAATATTCTGAATGGATATAGGGAAAAGCTCATGGATCCCAGTTACCAGTTAGCAAGCTGAAGCCAAGGGAGTGGGTCACCTGATATAATTGATAAGATATGGTTACTAAGTCCCCCCACCCCCTCCAGCAAGACTGTCTCTTAAAGGGTGAGACAGGATGCTCTGGCTGTGTTCCTAGAATATTCCTGAGAGGCAAGTTTGTATTCCCAGGTAATTGGGAAGTTTCTGAGGTGCCAGTGTTCTAGAAATTTAAAAAGGGCAGGTGACCCCAGTCCCTAATGACTTAAAAATCTCCTTAACTCTCATACCTCTGAACTCTTTACCTCTGACAGCAGGTGTGCATTGGGGCTACGAGGAGACCAAGGCCTTCTTGGCAATTCTCAGCGAATCCCCATTCTCTGAAAAGCTTCGTACCTGTCATCAGAACAGCCAGGTGTACCGGGCCATTGCAGAGCGGCTGTGTGCACTGGGCTTCCTGCGGACACTGGAGCAGTGTCGCTACAGATTCAAAAACCTTCTTCGAAGCTACCGGAAAGCCAAGAGCAGCCATCCACCAGGGACCTGCCCCTTCTATGAGGAGCTGGACTCACTGATGAGGGCTCGGACTGTCATCAGGGTCATGAAGACTGTGGGAGAGGCCACAGGTCTTCCTGGATCTGGGCAGAGCAGTACTGAGGCTGATGACCAAGAAGCCTGGGGTGAGATGGAAGATGAAGATGCCATTAAACTTATGACCCCAAATCCCCAAACTCCAGATCCAGGTAAGCTGGAGTCCTTGGGTATCTACAGAATCTGCATCCATGTACAAAGACTGTTATTTTTTGTTTCTGAGCTAAAAGAGTGAATGAGATTGAATAGGAAAAGGTTTTGTGCTTTGCATAGATGATCATCTCTTGTTTAGTGCTGTCCTGCATATGAGATGGCCAGTCTAGCTTTTGGGGGAATACATCTGGGTAATTAGAGAACAGACTCAGTCTTACATGACACAGGATCTGTTTAATGTACTGGAAGATGAGAGAAGGCGCCAGTATTGAATACAGACTTTCGGGGAATTGGCTGGGATGTGGGGCAGGCATCATGATTGCTGTAGTGGGGTTACTATGCAGGTTTAGAAGCACATGTGTGCACCAAAACTTTACAGGTCACGTTAGTTGCATTTACAAGCTGTGAGATAGAAGATCCATATTTATGTTAGCCACATTCATAAAATGCATGATACAGATAGAGAAATGTTGACCCACAAATGAACAAAAGCTCCATTTCTGTCCATTTGTCAGGTTTTGAGATGAGGCATGAGGATGAAGACCAGATTTCAGAGCAGGACCTTTTGGGGGATTTGCCTGGAGTTTTATCAGAGTATACTACAGAGCCTGTTTGCCAACCTCACGATTCGGGGGAAGACAGTGAGAACGAAAATGAAGGGGAGTGGAGATGCCCTCCCCAGGACTCCTGGGAGGGGTGCTCCTCTGAGGACGACTTCGAAAAGCTCATTGACCATCAAGGCCTGTACCTCACAGAGAAGCCCTATAAATGTGACACGTGTGTGGAAAGCTTCAGTCGGAGCTCCCACTTCGTTGCCCACCAGTGGACCCACACAGGTGAGAAGCCTTACAAATGCCTTGACTGTGGAAAACACTTCAGTGATCGCTCCAACTTCCATTCCCATCAGAGAATCCATACTGGAGAGAAGCCCTACAAATGCCTTGAATGTAGGCAGAGCTTTAGCGACCACTCCAGTCTTATCACCCACCAGAGAATCCACTCTGGGGAAAAGCCCTATAAATGCGGGGCATGCTGGAGAAGCTTCAACCAGAGCTCAAACCTACTGAAACATCAGAGGATCCACTTGGGAGAAAGTCTGGACCAGTGTAGTGAGCCTATGGAGAAAGCTGGCCAAAACCCATCTTTTAGTGCTCACTGGGGGAATTCTGCAGAGGAAAGACCTGAGCCATCTCAGAATGTCAGCATGAGGGTGAGTTCTCCTGGACCCCACAGCACCAACTCAGGAGAGAAACTGTATCAGTGCTCTGAATGTGGAAGAAGCTTCTCTAAGAGCTCTGCCCTCATCAGTCACCAAAGAATCCATACGGGTGAGAAGCCATATGAATGTGCAGAATGTGGGAAAAGCTTCAGTAAGAGCTCTACCCTGGCTAACCACCAGCGAACCCACACTGGGGAGAAGCCATTTAAGTGTACAGACTGTGGGAAGTGCTTCAGTGAGCGCTCTAAGCTCATCACACACCAGAGAGTACACACAGGAGAGAAGCCCTACAAATGCCTTGAATGTGGAAAGTTCTTCCGGGACCGCTCGAACCTTATCACTCACCAGAGAATTCACACAGGGGAGAAGCCATATAAGTGCAGAGAGTGTGGGAAATGCTTTAACCAGAGCTCCAGTCTCATCATTCACCAGAGAATTCACACCGGGGAGAAGCCCTACAAGTGCACAGAGTGCGGCAAAGATTTCAACAACAGCTCCCATTTTAGTGCCCACCGCAGAACCCATGCGGCAGGGAAAGCATCGTAGGAGACTGCCTTCCCCCCGCCCCCCGGCAGAAGGGCAGTACATCTGCACTTATGTCTCCCAAGTTTCTAAAATACATACTTGAAAGAAACCATCCAATTTTTAAGCTTGGTGTATACCTATAGGTATTATCTTGGTAAAATTCAGGTAATTTGGAAGTGAATTACAATTACTAAGGATTAAGATCTGAAGGTACTTTTCTCAAGTGTAATTTGTTTTTCTCATACAAACCACCTCCCCCGCAGTCCTGTCTTTACACTTAATTGCTGTGTAAGAGCTTCGTCAATATTTAGCCAGACTGGTGACCATAGTGGATTAGAGTTCAGTCTTTGGCCCTGAGTCTGATCTCAGACTTTTGCTGTGCCTTTGCACTGTTCACATGCACAAACCCATGGGCAGTGGTTCTTATCCTTGGTAGTTGGCAGTAACGGCAGATCTTCCCAAGAGAACCTTGAGACTTGAACTCAGTGGCCTAGGGTTCCCCACCCAGAACACAGCAACTAGGAGGAGCAGCAGTGGCATCATCTAAAGTCATTAATAACCGCATAACTTGTACTGAGCACTTTGGCCTCCTGTGTACTTAGCACCTTAAACATATCACCTTATCTAATCTTCAAGACAGCCCTATTTCCCAGAGAAGAAAACTCAGGATTGAGCAAGTTAGATAACCTGCATTGGTCCACATCTGAAAATGAGAGGCCGGCAGTCAGACTCCTGTGTCCCCAGAGTCAGAGAGGCTTCCTCCTTGACCGAGTTCCCTTTCACATAAGGGCAGGTAACTCTGGTACCAGTATCTCAAAGTTTGATAATTAATTCTTCCTTTAACAAATACAGAAGCCAAGAATTCCTAAAGATGGAAGGATTTGGGATGTTCAGAATTGCTGAAGTGCTTTGAAGTGAAGGCCGAGCTGTCATCATCACGGTGATGGAGCTGAGTCTCCATCTTTAGAGTAATATGGGTCAGAGAGATGTGGGTGAGACTGGAGAAAAGCAAAGTGATATGTCTTCCAGTGAGCTAGTTAGTGCTTTGGCTACGGAAGTAAGGGTCTCAAGTCCTGCTTATCTTGATGCCTGATCACAGCTTGAACATTGCCAAACCAGGGTTCCCCTCTCCTGTTCACTCATCCCTGCCTTTTCATCCCTCTGGCCCATTCTTTCTGTCTTGATTCCAGTGCCATAGCTGAGGTGGAGGGATTGGTGCATTGTCCTCTTTTGAGAGGTGGTTCCACATTTGAGGTTCATGGCATCGTTTTAGCCTGAGCCCTCTTGTTCCAGGGCTACCCAGTGCTTGCTGCTCAGACCAGCCACTCACACACGTAGGCTCAGTCGGAGAGGTTCATGCGTGAGAGGTCCACACATGCAATGATTTTCTTGCTTGTAGCACTTTGCTTTTCATTAGAAGGGTTTAAGAATGTTGGCCAAAGACTTTGGTTTCCATGGAATTTTAAAGGTAGATTTTTCTCTTACATCCACCCGTGACCCTAGGATGTCATTCATACCCTGGTAATTTCATGGACCTGAGAAATAGCTATCAATAATAGAGTTTGGAATCTTGAAGACTGGAACTTTCTGTACATTTGTGAAGATGTAGGTAGAAGGTTTTGCTGTTCCCACTAAAAGAAGCTCCTTAATCTCTTCCCATTTTAGAACCTCGCTTCTTAGGAATCAGTCCACCCGAGGCCACCTTCCCTCAATCCCTTCCCAGCTTATCTTTCCTAGCTAACTTTATCTCTAAAGAGCAGGGGTCATGAGATGAGCCCTGAACTGAAATCAACAAATGTTAGTACTGCAATAAGAAAATATGTAGACTACTCTGGGTCTGAAAGGAAGGGTTCCAGGAAGAGAAGAAAGTTCCAGAAAAAGAGCCTACGGTATGAAGTAGCGTGGATTCTGGGTGGAGGTGGAGGCCCAGGTTTGTGGCGTAGGTTAAAGGATGGGGGATGCTGGGAGCTGAGATTGGATGGGTACTGGGGGCAAAGTCTTGTATGAATGGAATTTAGATGGCAGGTCCAGGGTGACATGTTCAGATGTGTGTCATCAAAATCTAACAGCTGATTGGAACTTGGATGTACTATAGTCAGCATCACTAGTTGGGTTGTGTGACAGTATTACAGTTAAGAGGAAAAGGTCTGAACTACCACACGGTTTTAGAGGGCAGCAGGGGAAAGCAGAGTGCCTCTGGTGATGGGCTAGTGTATGCTCTCTTCACACTGGGGACATGAGGAAGAGATGGAGATAGAAACAAGGCAAGCAGAAGATTATAAGCTTAGTTTCTAACATTTTGAACACAAGATGCTTAATGGACCTCTGCATAACATTTCATTTATATGTCTGAGCCTGAAGTTGGGGGAGAAGTTAGGCCTAGAGAATTGGTCTATGTGGGCATCATAGTCAAACTCCTGAGAAAGATCATGATCAAAGTTAAAGGGAGTATTGTACTTAAGACAGAACCCAGAAGCCCAGAAAGGGAAGAAAGGCACCTCTCAGGGAGCTCTGCACCACTCCAACCCTCATGTCACCTCTGGGACTCTTGTTCCCTTGACGCTGACCCCTGGCTTCTCGGTGGAGTCTTGAGCTTTCTGGAGTCCCCATGCTGAGTGCTTTGCGGAAGTGAAGTGGCCTCCTGCTTCTTTGCCCTTGGGACTGTGCTACTGTCTTCTGTTTTCAGTGACTGGTGCAGGTGCTTTTATTTCCTATCATTATCCTCAGCTCCTTCTCACAGCTCTCTTGTCCAAAAGAGCAAGGATAGCCGAGGGCTGGGAGAGAAGCCTGCACCAGGTGGTTCCACCCCCTACTTACTTAACTTTTTGGAAGAACTACTTTTATAGGTGATGTCTGTTCTGGGCCTGACCCAGCACCTTGCTGTTGTGCCCAGACATCTTCCAGAATGATTTCTGCTTAAGTAAACTGGCGTCTGGTTTTCCCCATCCTGCTCTTGGGCACTAAATTCACCCAGCACAATGGTGGACAATTCCTCAGCCCACATGGCTACAGGTCTGACCCTGGCTATGAAAACCAGAGTGGTGAGGGCTGCCCTCAGAGGAGGGTGTATACGACTCCTAAAGGTGGGATCATGTCCCCCCAGGCAAGCTGTACCTGTTTCCTTAATCATGTTCTCCACCCCAAGAAGGACAGTGGCTCCTTCGAAGTGACCAGGAGGTACTGAAAGGTTCCTAGAGGCCTCCCATTTCAGACTCTGCACTGCACAGTGGACCTAAAGGAAACTGCAGGAAGCCATGGGAAAGGCTGCTTCAGAAGCCTAAAGCAGTTTCTTCTGAGGTCTAGTCCCCAGCACTGAACTCAGGGTCCTGACCGCCTTGCCTGACTCCTCTCCAAGGCAGGGCAAGCTGAGTGTGTTCTGGCTGCAGGGGGCCAGCTCTTACAGGCTGCAGATAGGAGATTTAGTCACTCTGATGAGGCGTAATCCCCCTCTGGGGGCGTGCGTGTGTGTGTGTGTGTGTGTGTGTGTGTGTGTGTGTGTGTGTGTGGTGTGTGTGACGCATGTCATGGCACATGGAAGTCAGAGGACACCTCATGGGAGTCAGTCTCTCCCTCTACCATGTGTATCTCAGGTCATCAGCCTTGGTGGCAAGCACCTTTTGGTGCTGAGCCATCTCACCACCCTGGGTTGCAGCTTTTGAAGCAATGAATGCAGCAGTACTTGGAAATGGCCGTAGCAGGTGTCCTTTTTTGCTCCAGGTTGCTGCCCAAAGTCAGCTGTCCCCGACACCTCCCATTTTCCCTTTTCCCTTACTGTGCACATCCTGATGACTTGGTTTGTCTTCTACTCGGGCCTCTTGGGAACCCAGCTGTCTGCCAGCCGGCCCTGCTTTGGTGACTCCTGGCCCCTCAAAGCCCTGTGCCTACTGCTATTTTCAGTCGGCATGCACATTTACATACATACTTAGCTCTCCCTCCCCCTCCCCCCCATCCCTAGGGAGCTTTACACACCCAGCCTGACCTCAGACATTTTCCCCTAGTGTTTCAGATGGGGCTGGGTTCCCCAACAGCCAGGACTGGGAGGCAGAACCAAAGTTAAAATGAGTCACATGAAGCTCTCTTTGCCTTACTTTGATCCCCACCTTGCTTTGGATGTCTGTTTCCCTCCAGGTTTGGAGCTAACACAATTCTTAAACCTGGCCCCAGATTGCTCCCAGGGGTCAGTCTGTCTGCATGGGAGGGTACGGTAGGCTGGAAGGAGAGCTGGGGTTCCCACTGTCCCCCAGCTGGGGCAGACAAGCAGTGCAGCCTTCCTCTCACTGGAAATACCAGTGCTGCCACTAGCATGTTGACATAATTTTTCCTTTCACTAATTGATGGCAAATGTAGAGTTGCTGCCAACGTCCATTTTGTGGGGAAGGCCTGTTCCTTCCTCTCCTGATGGTTTCTTCCCCATCCCATGAGCAGTCCAGGGAATGACCCCCACTTCCATCTCACCTCTCATGACCTTTGCCCCTTTCCTGGTCCCGCTCTCACCAGGTCCCTGTCAGGACGCTCCTGTCTGCTTACAGGAGGAGGCAGGGAGTGTGAGAGCTCCCGTTCTCAGTGCAAGGCCATTTTTCCCACTTTGGATGTTGACCTTTTTTTTTGTTGTTGTTTTTAAAGCTGCTTGGTGAAGCCAAGAACCTCAGAACGGTGAAGAGCATGCACCGTGTCAATAATTTTGCCTAAATAGATGGGAACAAGTGGCTTGGGGATTCACGTGGCCATTGACTTTCTACTCAGGGCACTGTTAGTGAGTCTCTGCATGCAGATTCTGGTCATGCCTACCTTTACACAATACTCGTCACTGAAGTAACACCTATTTTTCACATTTTCGTTGCATGAAAGTAGCTCATAATTCTGCCACCTGGAGAGTGAGGGCCACAGGAATGGAGGTTAGGCAAAAAAGTGTCCAAGATTGGTCTTGGAGTAGCATTAGGTGTTCATCTGAGCCCAATCGGAAGAGGAGCTGGCACTGACAGCTGTTGTCAAGTCTTCAGAGCTCCTAGGGCCCTGGATGCTCTACTTTGGTGGCAGGTGACAGGAGTGACTGAAGAGGAAAGTGACTCTCCCAAATAGAAGCTGGGTTCCCCAGCACTCTGGGGAACTAACAGACCACAAAGTAGCCTTTGCATACTTTTAAGAGCAGGGGAGACCAGCAGGTGTCTCGGGTGCCCCCTGGAGGCAGTGGTGAGAAGCTTCTTTGCAAACCCAGGGGCCCAGGGCAGGAGAGGGCGCCTTTCTGGACCTCTG